CCTCTCATATTAAATTTGGCAAGCTTTAATAGAAAACCACTCCTTTAAGGCAACTAGAAACTTCACATGTTGCTTTGAAACTTTTTCCATCATATCACAGTTGCATAGCATAAAACGGAAAATCCGTCCGTAAACTTACAATATGAATGCAGACTCACCGAATACAATTGGCGCCATGTTCAAAGGGCAACACCGCATCTCTTGTGACGGTAAAAAAATATGGCAAACTTTTCTTAGAAAACAACACTGTGATGTACGAAAACATAACCTTCTCGTTTGACCAAACCAAAACACAACAGACTGCGCTGCGCCTGCGCCTGCTAGCAGACCGAGCATGGAGACAGGCTAGGCCCGACTCCACGGCACTAGACGAGGAACGTTTCGGCGTTTCGTCTCCTCGGCAAAGATGTCATTATGTGGGCTGTAATTATTTTCGTCCCATTACTGTGTTACGTCATTAAGAGAGTGCGGAAAATGAAATGAAATGAAATCGAATCAAGGTGGCGTCTGTTAATGCCAGCTTGTTGGCATTACTGCAGCGCTTCCCGCCAGACAGCGCCAGACTTGAAACGAATAATTGCACGCGTAGAGATCTTGAGAAAAGCAGAGATAATAAAAAAGTATTGGGCTCTGTCCGAATTCATGCACCAATCGCTCGGTGTGCGAGAGAGATAGCGGCCGTTGGAATCACATAAGTTTGTCTCTCTTACTGAGACCGAGCCATCGCAGACCGACATGGTAGTAGTGCGGTGGCGCACAAATTCTGGTGTACTTATATGCTTGAGTCTGATGGATTAACAGAAGTGAGGGAACACAGCAAGATGCGTCATTTCACACTTTTTATTAGTAAAAAAACAACACGTAAAGAGGAATTATGAATAAATGGTGACACAAGTAACTACCTACTTGAGAAAACATTCTACCTCTGCATCAAAGAGTGAGATTAATGTCGTACTGGGATATAAGACTATCATTTTCAGTAAAATTAATATTACATGTTTCATTACAAGTGCATTTGTTATACGTTGGCAGGATGTGAAGTTATTCAAAATGTTCTCATTGTCAAGGCCACAAACTACCACAAACAAACCACCACCAGGGTAATTAATGCCTCAAGCATTGCTTTCGATCTGCAAGTTCATCACATTATAAACAGCAGGGGAGACAACCACCACCAGGCTAATTACTCAAGCTCTGCTTTAATTGCCACATAAAATATTTCCCAGCGTGTAGTGTACAAAAACATCACATTACAAGCAGCAGGGGAAAGAAAGCTTACCCAATGTTATTTGAATACGTTCTCTTGGCTTGAGCTACTTTGTAGCTAAAAATAGCCAATAATATAAACAACCTTTATTTATGACTTAGTCTGAACCAACATTATGACAGACACACAACCTGCTGTATACTTTACAATCTACAAAGCATTATTCAGCATTGCTAAAGGCAGGGCGCTTTAAAAAAAAATTAATGAAAATATGCCCTATCAGCAAGTAATTACTCTTTTCTTTATGACATGAGTAGCATGATTTTCATATTATACATGTCCTGGGCATTATGTACCCCACATTTATATAATAATTTAGAAACTAAAACTACCACAACCACAACCACAACTTAATGCCACCATGCCACCTAAAAATTTTCACAGCGTAGTCTACAATGAAATACATCACATTACAAGCAGCAGGGAAAAGAAACATCCACCGTGTTAATTGAATTCGTCCTCTTGGATCGAGCTACTTTGTAGCTAAAAAAATTAACCAATAATATTAACAACCCATCAAATTTATGACTTAGTCTAAACCGACCTGCCATATACTTTACAATCTACAAAGCATTATTCAGCACAAGGGTAAACATACCAAACTGCATTTTACCTTAATACGCACACTTGGCAATTTGTAACCCTCAAGACAATCATGTATGAAAGTTCAAAATCTGGCCTTCTCTTCCCGTTAAACAGGACAGAGATTAATCTATTAAC